AATAGTATATCTTTGGAAATATTGCATACAGTCATCAAGAAATTAAAAAATTGGAAAGCACCTGGTTCTGATTTCATTCATAATTACTGGTATAAGCATTTTACACACGCACATTCATATCTTCATAAGTTTATAAATCATTTTATTCAAAACCCTCATGATATGCCTGAATACATAGCTACTGGAATAACATATATGATACCAAAAGATTATGGTGATCTTGGAAATCCGGAAAAATATAGACCAATCACGTGTCTTCAAACAATATATAAAATAATAACGTCTTGTCTCACTGAAGTTCTTTATAAGCATTTAATGGATAATAACATATTGACGGAAGAGCAAAAAGGATGTAGAAAACATAGTCAGGGCTGTAAAGAGCAATTAATTATAGATTCAGTAATATTAAAACAGGTTCAAAAAGAAAAAAGGGATATTTTTACACTATACATAGATTACAAAAAAGCATATGATTCAGTTCCTCACTCTTGGCTGCTACAAACATTAGACATTTATAAAATACACCCTCAAATTATAGATTTTTTGAAGAATACTATGGCTAATTGGAAGACTACATTAAAATTAAGTATACAAAATAATAACATTAACACTGAACCGATTAAAATACAACGCGGTATTTATCAAGGTGACGCTTTAAGTCCATTGTGGTTTTGCCTTGCTTTAAATCCCTTATCAAATATGCTAAATCTTACAAATACTGGATATCACTTATGGTTTAATAATAGTTTAGTTAATAGCCCTAGATCAGAATTAAAGATAGTTAATCACCTTTTATATATGGATGATATTAAGCTCTATGCGGAATCAAAAGAAGAATTAGACACACTAGCAGACTTAACATACACATTTTCACAGGATATTAATATGGAATTTGGTATCGATAAATGCAAGATAAACGCAATTAAGGCAGGACAGAACTTAAAATATGAATATCAACTAGGGAATGGCGAATGTATATTGCCATTAATCGAAAATGAAACTTACAAATATTTAGGATATATTCAATCAAAACTAATACATCACAAAGAAATCAAATTGAATTTAACACAACAGTTTAAACATAGACTTAACTCTATATTAAAATCATGTCTTAACTCAAAAAATACTACAAAGGCGATAAATACATTCGCAATTCCTGCCCTAACCTATTCGTTTGGAATAATTAACTGGACCAAAACTGAATTAAAAAATCTTCAGCGTGTAATAAATACAACTATGACCAAAAACCGGAAACATCACCCACGATCATGTACACAAAGAATGACACTCCCGCGATTAGATGGTGGCAGAGGATTAATCGATATATTAAATTTGCATAACAAACAGATAGCAACTCTCAGAAAGTATTTTTACTCCAAAACTGACACATCTACCCTTCATAATGCAATAGTTCAGAATGATAAAAAGCTAAGCCCACTTAATTTGATACAAAAAGCTCCACAAAATAATGAAACACAAACTGATAAACTTAGCAAAATCCGAGAATGGACCCAGAAGTCATTACATGGAAGACATCAAAACGAACTGAACCAGAATAACGTCGACAAGTTAGCATCGAACGAATGGCTCAGACGTGGCGAACTCTTTCCAGAGACTGAAGGGTTTATGATAGCAATTCAGGATCAAGTCATAGAAACTAGAAATTACCAAAAATATATAATTAAAAAACAAAACTTCCATACCGATATATGCAGAAGATGTAACTGTGCCTCAGAAACCATTCAACATATAACCGGTGCTTGTAAATCTATTGCTCAAACTGATTACAAGCATCGGCATGACCAAGTTGCATGTATCATTCACCAAAAGTTGGTTATTAAATACAACCTTACTTCCTCATCTCCATTACCCTATTATAAATATACACCAGAATCTGTTATTGAAAACGAATTGTATAAGCTATACTTTGACCGCGCCATACTGACAGATAAAACTGTACCATACAATAGACCAGATATTACATTGGTAGATAAATTAAACAACACAGCCACGATTATAGACATTGCTATACCTAACTCACATAACTTACATAATACTTTTACAGAAAAACTTGCTAAATATCAGGATCTTAAAGATGAAATTATGAGAATGTGGAAAATAAAGACAGTTACAATAGTACCAATTGTTATATCCACCACAGGTGTTGTACCCAAGAATCTTCATCAATCTATTAAATTGCTTGGGCTTCCTCCATTTACTTACGTACAACTACAAAAAGCAGCTATACTTAATACATGTCGTTTAGTGAGAAAATTTTTAAATAATAATCCGTAATACATCGGCACTCACTTGGTTTAGGCCCGTGATTGTTGATACTCCGGTACCAAGTACTGAGGCTTATGAATATAAAGAAATAAAAATAATAATATTTATTGCAAAGGTATACACCCAATTTAGAATATAATAACATATATGTAGTTATACAAGTCAATTTTTATATCACTTATGCATATATATGCAAGTCAATAAAAACATTATAAAAACAAAATTCAGTCAGACTCTTCATTAAATTAAACTAGAATTAAAAACAATATATCGCTGTTGAGTATATAGTAGCTGTTGAGTGTATAACTATATAATAATAAAAAAAATTACTTACTTTTAACGTTTTATTAACCTTTTAACCTTTATGAAAATAAATAAATCGTCTAAAATCGCGTCGAGGAATGAAACATAAAACACTTTCAATAAATTAGTTACCTATTGTTGCAAGACTCAACGGAAAATTATCGATATGAGCATTATGCGCTTTGTGCTGCACTAGAAGTGAGCGCGCGATATTATTCTGTGCTTTTCGCACACGTTTATTATTGGTCACAGGGATCACGGGTTCTGAGATTATGCGTTTTTAGAAAATATTGCGTAATGTCATCGCTTAAAGTTTAATTTTTGTTGCAACAATGCAAAATGCATGTGTGAGCGATAGTGTGTATTTATTGTTTGTCAATGTGTTGGTAGCTGCAAGCCGGCGACACGCGTCCCAGTACTAAAAGACCGCAATGGCATTTCTATTACCTTATTATTAAGATTTCTGTGCTAGCATCATACCAAATTTAATCAAAATCCCACCAGTGGTTTTTCTGTGATGCGGTAACAGACAGACAAAAATTCTAAAAACTATAGATTCGGCCTCTGTATCGATATTAAAGTCTATTTCATTATGATTTTCCAAAAAAATATTTAATGTACAGATTCGGCTTGGTTACAGTTTTATTATATGTACCTATAGATAATGATTATAGTTAATTCATTATCTGTTAAAAGATTATATAAATGTAGGTAACTACTTACCTATAAATAACGTTTTATTAGCTGTTTGTGATTTTTGATAAGCTCTATTTTCAACCGACTTCAAAAAGGAGGAGGTTCTCAATTCGACTGTATGTTTTTTTTTATGTTTGTTACCTCAGAACTCCGTCATTTATTAACCGATTTGGACAATTTTTGTTTTGTTTGAAAGAGTATACTTCCAGATTGGTCCCATTTAAATTTAAAAAAAAATACCACCCCTAAGGGTGGAAAAACAACTAATCATTAATTTAACCTACTTCTAATTGTCATATTCACTTGAAACTTTGCAAGTATTTCTATTTCCGTTGATAGTACAGTGGTTCGGTGTTGTTGACCTGATCTGATGGCAAGGCCAGAAGGTGGATAGGTGGAACTCTTCAACGGCTAATAGTAGATACTTTGAGTTTGGGCTTATTTTGTTTGATTTGACAAGCCTAACACGTTAGAATCCTTACTTTGCTACTACTGTCTACACTAAAAAGGGAAAAATAAAAACTTTTTAACAAAAAAATAAAAACCGACTTCAAACAAAAGCACTAAAAAGTAAAAAAATAACTGATTGGTAGTTTTCATTTACTATACATACCTAATCAAATATTTTCGAAGTCGGTGTGCTTTGCTTTGTATGGGCTGGCACCGATTTCGAAAATATTTGATTAGGTATGTATTTAATAGGTAGGCTTTAATTCCTTAGTCAAAGCACACCGACTTCGAAAATATTTGATTAGGTATGTATAGTAAATGAAAACTACCAATCAGTTATTTTTTACTTTTTAGTGCTTTTGTTTGAAGTCGGTTTTTATTTTTTTGTTAAAAAGTTTTTATTATATTGTTTCTTGTAGGTAACTAGATTTAAAATCACAGATTTTTTAATTTTTTATCTGCGTATACTGGATCGATCTCCGGAATAGCTAAGCCGAAAATATTATAACATCCTATTAAGACTTTCAAAGATCTGATAATACTGATTTGATATATATTTTTGCCGGTAAATGAAACATGTACAGGGGTCGAAGTAGAATTTTTTGAAAATACCTACTAGTACTTAAAATAACTATGTGAAATAATTTTTTTTTTAGATAAATCTATACAGATAAATAAAACTGAAGTCTGTTTGTACTTTGTAATAGCAAAATAACAGCGTTTTACTAAATTCATATGAAATTATATACGGTACTTATAAGAAAAACACATTTTTTTAAAAGTCTGTCTGTTTGTTCCGGATAATCTCTGAAACGGCTGGACTGATTTTGCCGGAACTTTTACTGGAAGATAACTGATATTAGGCTTACAGCATAGAACATAGGCTACTTTTATTTTAGAAAAAGAATTAGAGTTCCGCTCAAAAAAATTAAAACGTACCTAAGGACGAATCCGAGCGAAGCAAGGGTCAGTCGCTAGTTTAAACATTAATGTGGGACAAAAAAATAATATCCAGCAATATTAATATCTATATGTATTGTCCAAGTTTAGTTAAAGACATCATTTTAATGGTCAAGGTCCATATTTCGTGGTATGGTTATTTCATTTAAACATTATTTGTACGAACTAGGTAATTTATTGTTATTAAAATGACTTAATATGATGAGTCATTCAAAAAAAATTAAGGTCATGCATCGTTAGCTGTTGTGATAAAGATAAGTAGGTACTTATATCATTATGTAGAAGTTAAGATAGGTAATACGTACAGCAAGTTGTAAGCCGGCAACGAAGCCGGAAGGATCATACAAGGGACAGACGGCTCTACCGAGTGAACAGTAAAGTCTAAGTTCCTCCATAGGTCCTGGAGGTCGTTCAGTTCTACGCCATCCCTCGCTCTCTGCCGCAACAATAGTCCGCGGGATTTTGTAGAAGTACTCCTTGTCTGCAAGTGCGTCTGACCAGCCGAATTTCACTGTAGGTGGAAAAGATTGAATATATAGTTATTTAATTATTAAGTTATATGTTGAAGAAGGAACAATTCTTTGTTAGAATGAAATTGAAGAAATCTACGAGGTCTAAAAGCAGTATTATTTTAAACTTTTATCTAATTATGGGGTTTATGTATAACAGTATACTAACTAAGCTTAATTTTGGACGCAGTTTATGAGCAATAATTATATCAATGTAGGTACATAGGCATCACATGATACTCATGCAAGTTTAGCAAAAATATACAAATTTTTGTAATAAATTTATTCTTTATCTTATCCTAAGAGATCTGGTTGTTTTATGGGATAGCAAATGATACATTTTAAATATTATTCCGAATACAAAATAACATATCCACGTAATGGCTTTCAAGTGTATGTCTTGTAATTTTTAATTATTTTACCGAATACCTAATACGTCACAATATTATTTTATTTTAATCTTTTAGTAACTACTCAAATCCATATTTACTTGAAATCAATAGTTTGTATGTCTCAGCATTTTCTTTTACTTTGTAGTAAAACAAATTTATTTTTTATTTATTGAAATTTCAGTAGGTACATATATATTAGCAAAAACAGTTATAAACGATAATAATTGCAGAAGTTAAGAAACTGTGTCGCTATTATTAACACCCTGCACCAGAAAAATTACAGAAAAAATATGTACCTACATTCAAAAACTAACCAAAAATACCTAACATTTATAAAAACAAAAATATAAACAAACTTTTTAGCTAAATTAAATAAGTTTACAAAAATTAAATTATTTTAAGTAACGCAAAAACTTAAAAAAAAATTGAAACCGACTTCCAGGCACGAAAATGTAAAAAATAACTAAACGGAGGTTTTCATTCAGAATAGATACTTAATCAGATATTTTCGAAGTCGGTGCCAGCCGATGCAAAGCAAATCTAATAGGTACCTATATTATTTCGATACATAAAATACATATTTACTAGAGATGTGCCGACTAGTCGCCGAATACCATGATTGCTGTATAGCATTCGAAACGTCGGGAACCAAAAATCAAAATGAATTCGCGAAAAAATCCGAAAAGATAATTTTATTTAAAATATTTTTTTGTTATTAAAAATTTTGCATCGTCGGTCATCGTCCACTTAAATTATTAATTTATACAAAATCGTTCATACGTAGGTATACAAACCAGAGTTTGATGCTTGATTTGCATAATTTATTTCATTATAAACATAATAAAGTTTATATGCGCCAACAAAACATTATTAAGTATAGGTACCTAGTTAATAATTTAATGTGCTTAGAACACCATCCGTAGTGCAATAGGAAATATGTCTAACTAGATACGATTCAATTTCGTCGTTCATGAGGTCCTGGGTTCGAGTTTTGAGTATGGCTGAAATTATCAATATAAATTATAATATATATTATTTATATTATTATGTGGATTGTTGGCGTTGTGTCTCCCATAAGAGCATGTAAGTCGGTTTTATGTCTTATCTCTCATCGGTCTCAGTTACCATGATTAATAAAAATATATAAATGAAATCAATTGACATCATTATGATTGTAAAATGACATTATTCACACATTATTAATAATTATAATTAAAGTAGGTAATGGTATAGCTTTTTTTCGACCTATGCTTATAATTTTAGCGTAGCTAACCTAATGACCAGTAACGATTTCTAGATGCAGGTTGAAACGCACAGATTAGCTAGTTTTAAAAATATATTATTTTATTAGGTATGAGTTCCAATTCTTAAGGAAAAATAATTGCTGAAAATAAAGGTACCTTACCTCTCAGTCCATTGTACTGAATACCTGAAAAACAATAAAGAAGCGCATGTAAATAACACAATCATATTATTTTAAACATACATTGAGGAAACCCCTTTAGCACAGTGGCCACTAGGTTCCATTATATTACGAGACACAACTTTGTGTGAACTTGGGACTAAGAAGTTTCGGGAACGATGCCGGTACGCAGGAATTTGAATAGTTTTTAAAGGTTCTTTCAGGCATTACTGATACTATTTAGCAAAATTTGAGTATAAGCGAATAATAGTAAAATTAAAATATTTAATAAAGCTATTCTTTAAATAGCAAATGGTGATTTTAAAAAACCTATAAGAGATAATAAGATAAGAACGATGAAAAAGATCAAGGAAGAATTGAAACAGTTACAGCTTTCATAGCAAGTGACAATAGAAACGGTCCAGTCAGTGCATCTACTATCATAATAGTTGGATGGTTATGATCTCGGTAGCCCTCTAAATTGAATATCCAGACACATTTTTTGGTCACCTACAAATATAACGTTAAGATGAATAATCTATAGGTACATACTCGTATATTAAAATTCTGAGTCGAATCTGTACAATAAATATTTTTTGGAAAATCTTCTTGAAATAGTCATTATTATCGATACAAAGGCCGAATCTATAGCCTTTAGAATTTTTGTCTGTCTGTCTGTCTGGGAACGCATCACGAGAAAACCACTAGACAGATTTTGATTAAATTTGGTATAATGATAGCTAGTTATCCTGGTCAACATAAAGGATACTTTTTAATGCGGAAAAATATCTCATCTCTGAGAAATCTATACTAACCGTTAAAACGTACCTAGGGACGCACCCGAGCGAAGCGAGTGTAAGTCGCTAGTCTTTTATAAAAAGCACCGTTACTTGTGCGACATACCTAGACAAGTAAATACATATTAATTTAAAAATTATTCTACTAAAATTGTACATATATTGAAAGTTTTTACTTACCACATGTTAATGAAATAACAGTCAAAAACACTATAAATTCTTTCATTTTAAAAGGACATTTATAAATTATCTTAAATAGCTACAAAGTAACTGAACAGACTGGAGACGAACAGACGACTGAGGTGCGTTCTAAATAGAAACAATTTAAAAGGCGAATGTTGGTCTCTATATGACATATATGTACCTAGAGCTAATGTGGCTAAAAGTTTTTAAACTTTGATTATTTTCATTTATGGTTTGATGTTAGTATATACTTCCAAAAGGTTGCAATAATATATTATAACTAAGACCTACGAATACGTCTTACTATTTTTAACATGTCATTTTTTTAAAATTTTAAGAATCAAAGCTCTAAACGCCCATAGAACATAATGTATGAATTCGAGTTTACCTACTAATATAAACTGAAATCCGTTTGGGCAAATGATCACGTCTCTAAGTGCCTAACTGAAGCCGTGACGCAGTGTTATTGCATTTCATAGTATATCTGTGTACTCTTTGAAATCTGCAGGTATAGCCGTTTCAGCGCAAAGAAGTAACAATTACATACACACTCATGTGTAATATGTATACATGTAAACTTTCGCATTTCGTCTGTTTTTTTGTCATTTTGGTAAAAATACTGCTTCTTTGTTTGAACAGCATTAGAACATAGTTTTTTTTAAATCACTCAGACTATAACGCACAACGTTTAATCGTAATTGCTTGTAGGATATAGTCTCAAGTCTGATATCAGCACTTAAAATTAGGAATTAGGGTTTAAATAATAATACATAATTGAGTTTACTCTTCATGGTTTAAATAACTACAGTTCATGTTGTAAAATATAATAGCCTTTTCCAGACAACTATAATAAATATGATCAATTCGTAGGAATTCGTAAATTTGATCCATATAAAATTTTGATATGAATACTTAAAAGTTAAAAAGGTAGAAATTTTTGTAAAGTGAAAAATGAACGCTATTTATAAAGTATTTCATAATTATTAAAATGTTCGTCCAAATCATTTTTTATGTATTTTTTTATGTTTGAATTGTTTAGTGATCATGAAATTAAAAAAAAGATCCTTTAAGTCTCTTTCCTCTTGGAAATTTTCAATAAAAAAGTCCCGATTTCCAGAATTCTACCTCCACTATAATTTTAATTTAAGAAAATAGGGCTCTAAGCAGCCGATAAGGTGTGCGCGCCGCCTCTAAAGCGAGTACATCATCATCTCCCTGCCCATTTCCCAAATTACTTGGGGTCATCGTAGTAGGTATGTCCATGCTGCATATTGGTTTTGGCAAAAGTTTTCCGACCGGCCCCCTGCCTGACGTCAACCCTCTTTGGAAATGCTGTTGTTCGCCCGCCATCGAGCAAGGGACTCGAGGTGCGATGTCCCTAGATCCTTTAGTCGTCTTCTATGATACCGACAGGAGATTGAATAGCCCTATAACCTATGCTATCCCGAGCGCTACACGGCCTTATTTGTAATATAAATGTACTTGAGGTTTATTTATTTTATTTGTCGTTTTAAACTTCCAATTTAAGTTGGTATTGTTAAATAATAATAAACCAATAAAATATTAGTTGATGTCAATCCATAATGAGCACACGTTGAGCGCAATTCAACTTAATCGTACTAAATGTACCTTTTGACCATTTTCACTGACACAGTCAATTGCTTGCCTTTACCGGTGTTACTTACCTTGGGGAGCTCCCCAAATTCAATTCTGCTAGTGGGCACATATTTGCGAAATGCGAATGCTCCTATAATGTAGTGCATTCTCGATCCCTTTAACACATTTTGCACGATATTATTAAGTTTTTACTTAATTTTTTATATATTTATTTTCAAATAAATTTTGAAGTCATTGTTTTCACATTTTGACAATTTTTTCCTTTATTTCGCTCTAAAGTTTCACACGTTTGGTTCTCGTGGAGCCGTAAAAATGAACGATTACCTAAGTGCCGCCATTTTTAATCCAATATGGCGGATGTTACAAAATGGTGATTTATCATTTCCATAGTGACCCTTAAGATATGAGCATCAAATGAAAGAGCTTGATGAGCGAAACACAATAAACATAGTGACGTCATTGTAAATCCAATGTGGCGGACTATGGTTTTTTATGCACCCCTATGATATGGCTATCCAATGAAAGGGTTTGCTGAAAAGGATACGAATAAAAACTAAAAAAAAAGACAAAGAATTAACAAATAAATAAAATAATTAACAGTAAAAAAACATTAAAAAAAAGAGGAGTCGATAGGTAAAAATCGTTACGTAACGAAAAGATTACGTTAAATTGTGTTTGTATTTTTTCCGAGTAAGAAACATCTCAGTAAAAGATCGGATATACTTACATACATACATACTCCTCCTACAGACTTCACCGCAATCGGGTAAGAAAGAAGTATAAAATAAAACATTTTTTTCGTATAATTTTATTCTACAGATATCCACATACTTTGTAAAATCAAAGTAACATTTCTCGTACACATCCTTTGGCAGTTTCCGTCCACACGTTTAACAAATAATCGCCAACGTAAGGTTGCGTTATAATAACAATCTAAACTAAATAACGAACTTGTGGCGTTTTAGTGCCTACGGTGTAGCGACGCGACGGTGTCATATAGAAAGACTTCATCATCCTTTATAATGCTAATAAATATAATATAGTATCCAGAAACTATATCTATATAGGTGTATTATTAAATAAAATTGCACTTTTTTAGCTATGTATATTAAAGTCTAAATAACCGTAAAAAATTGTCTGGCTGTCTATTTTTAATCGAAAATATCCGAAATGGTTGAATTCATGAACAATCCGAAAGGCTTCTCAGTTTAAAGTTTCGGTTATGTTCTTTAACTGGTTAAAACCCGAAAAACGGTTTTTGACGAATTTGGATGGAAAATTAACCGGTTATAATGAGTTTTTGTGCATTATATTTGCTAATGGTGAATTTCTTAATAGAAGGATAGGTCATGTACGTTCCTGGAATTAACCGGTTTATTTCGGTATAACCTAAGTTTAATTTTTCTCTAAAAATAACCGTTAATCATTATTACTCCGCTTTACTAAGCCGTTCGATTTCACTAACCAGTTAATGAACAAACGAATTAAGAATAGAAGATATTTTTTTTCAATTTTCCTTTTTTCGTGACTTTACCCGATGTTTTAATAGTTATTCTGCTATTCGGAGTGAAGACAAATCCAACAAAACAAAGATCATAAAAATCGGTTCAGCGGTTCTCAATTTATGTTTTAACAAACCAGACTTTGTTTTATATATACCTAAATATTTCATGATTATAAATTAAAATGTTACATAAAAACTTTCCTTTAATGTCTCTGGTCAGAAGATTCTTTGCTTCTTATATTCTTAATCGGTAGCGAAAAATCAATTAATCTTAATATTTAATAGTTAGTCTTCGTCACAGCATTGACATAAATGCGATATACATTATAGCTCAAAAGTCGCGTCGTATCACCGTCACTAGTGTGAGCAGCGTTACTTGTCCGCCGGCGAGGGGTCGGTGGGGGTCGAGGGGTCGGTAGGGGTCGGGTCAGTAGGGGATGAGGGGTCGGCAGCAGCCGACTCGTCGAGCGCGGCCGAGAGCTCGTCATCTTCGTCTCGACCATACAGCTCGGGGTACTGCGCCATGCAGTCCTGCATCACGCTAAACTTCTCGTAGCAGTCGCTGCCTTTAGGCTCGGCTTCGCTGGAAGTTTTTGTTGTATAAGAAATAAATACTACATACAAGTGAAACAGTAAAAAAATATTGGAATTTTAATTATATATTTTAATTTTTGTAAATGGATTAGTTCAAGGTGTTTGTTTTCCTCATTGGCGTCCAGCCGAGCGTGAACCTGTTGTACAGGTGGTATGTGTAGATGCAAAAAGTAATGTTAAAAAAAGTGGTTGTTTCCAAGGTAAACCATAACAACAAAAAAAACGTATGTGGGTACTTATGTACGCACGTTAGAAGTTATACTTCTTTGGCGTAAAAGAAGAAAAGTAGATAAAGATTTCATCCCGTATGCCACAACTCTCTGTTTGTACAAAACAAAATCGGTTCACCCGTTCGAGAGCTACGATGCCACAGACACAAATACACACACACCCCGTCGTTTTGCGTAATGGGTTAAAAAGGAATGAAGCTAACTTCATTATGTCGCTTTCAGCTAACTTTATCATGTTGCTTTTTGGCTGTTGGTGAGCGCGCGTAATAATTTTATTCGCATATTTTTTTCAAACGTGGCAAAAGAAGTATAACTTCAAAAATGTATTTATTTATGTACCATAAAATATATATTATACAAAATAAAGAAACAAAATGTTGACAAAGGATAACTTATCTATTTAAGAGATTTCTTCCAGAAACCCTTCAGAAGTGAGAAAATAAGTTAATATAGTGCAGTGTAGGTACAGTGCAGCATTAAATGGAATTGACTTAATACATACATATACTTATACATGCATATACATAGACTTAATATATACATATATTATTTATTAAATAAAGCAACTAAGGTATAAGTTAATAAGAAGAATTAGATATTATAAACACCATCACTGAATTTGTTATGATTAATAATAATTAATTATTATAATTTACTCTTTATATATTCTCTCTCTTCAGAATTTTTCTTTTAGGTTTGGTTTCTTATAATTTCATATATTTTGCTGCTCTCCACACCCACTTGTACATAGATAGCAATAAATAATCTATGTCTATCAGATTATATTAAATGAGCAATTCTGTATATATACAGTGCTGTGAAAAAATATACTCATATTCAATTTTCAAGATTGTATGTGGAAATAAGTATGTAGTTCTAAACATTGTTTCATTAAATAAAGATCACAAAAAAAGAAAACTCTTAGTGTATGTGAACATTTTTTTATTCATTACAATAAATATAAAAATGAAAGAAATGCTTAAAGGCAAATATTAACTGGGAATAATTATAAACTCAATGTATATATTAATTAATATTTTTCAATTTACCCTTATTTTTAATGGCTTTGATTAGTCTATCGGGTATACTATCAATTAATTCTTTTTTATAAAATGTAAGTCCGAAATTTCATCAATTGATGTAATTTTGGATTAACAAGACTGCAGTCTTTGTTTAAGTTGAGAAACATTATTGATTTGGGTTTTTTTTTTGATTATGTTTTTTTCTTGCTAAGATCTCCCAAGCATTTTCCATCGGATTTAAACGGGCCTGCTTGCTGGCCAGTCGAATAGTGGTATACCGAAGTATTGAAACCACTTTTTTGTTGTTGGAGCAACGTGTATTGGAGCGTTGTCAGGTTGAAAAATTATATTTTTGTTTTCAGTTAACATAATGAATGGTAGAAATAGATAATTAGCAACGTTCATTCGATTACCACAGTACGCCAATTCTGTCTTTAAATGACCAGTGATACCACCCCAAACTAAGACCGATGCACCTCCATGAGCTCGACGAGACATTATTTTACGTTCAAACCTTTAAATCATGCCAATCGCATTTAAAACCGTCCCGGACAGTCGCAAATAAACTTTTTATCTTTTCCTTTTTTTGATACATTTTTCTACACATTTTGGTCTTTCTGCAACAAGCTTTGCTTTTAAGACGGATTAACTTAGGTACTGCCGATATTTCCCGGGGGAGAAGCCAACTCCTACCGGGCGCGTCCCCAGGTGGCGGATAGGGGAATGCCACCCGCTTAGGGCGGCGGGTGGTACCGGAGAAATCCGGCGCGGACCAAATGGCTTGGATGGGGCCGCTCGTCTAGGCCTCGAGCCGAAGACGTTGCGGCCACCGGTGGTGGGACCGCTTGGTCCCACAACCGGATGATGGGTGCCGGTTGCGGGACTGTGGTCGCAGGCCCGCATCCGGCGGAGGAGTAGGCCGCGGCGGGAGAGGAGTGCCGGTATTTCGGTGCGCCGTTCTCCCTACCTTCTGCGGCCTAGAGTCGGTGTTTCGTTGCCGCTCTCCCTGTCCTCTGCAGCCGATTGGAGGTGGCCCACTTCGGTGGGCGGTGGTCAGGTTTAATGGGGCTGCTCCGGGTACCTCTCTGGCGTAGCAGAGTTGACTGTGGAGCAGCCCCATTGGTTTGGTGGTCTGCCTTTTTAGGCAGACCTGCCGCCGGGGCGCCGTAGTAGTTATGCGCAAGCGATCCTGCGGCGTCCCATTAAGGCGGAGGGGAGGGGAATGTCGGGTTTTAGTGGGTAGTACCGGCTCTTCTAGCCGGTGAGCCCCACATCACCACCTGGGGGATCAGGTGGTATGCGTAAATGCATTTCCCGACGATAAAAAAAAAAAAAAAAAAAAAAAAAAGGTACTGCCGATATTTAAAGCGTCTGGGCTCTTGTGTTCACTTTCTCACAAGACTAGCATCACAGTTTAAATTAAATCTACGCACTAATGTCAATGATGATGCTCCAGTACTTGATAATTCTTTTAATACTACTTGTTTAACATTAGGAGGCAATTTCGGCGGACGTTCTAAACGTTTTATTTTGCCATAGTTTTCAACATCTAGCTTCAAAAAGCTTTTCACCACACTCTACAAATAATGTCAGCTATTTGCCTTTGAGTTTTACCGCAGCTTCTCAGATCAATAGTTCTTTGTTTTTCAATAGAACTTATTTCTTTACCGCGAGGCATCGCAAAACAAAATAAATATATTAATTAACTATGATTAACCACGAAAGTCAAAGCTGGTAAGTAATGTAGATTTCAAGAGAATGACAAAAAAAAACACTTTAATTTCAGTAGGTTGCCAAAATGCAACTGAGTTTATAAATATTCACAGGTTAATATAGCATATTCAAAACAAAGTCACATCACTATAATATGAAGGTCACGCAAAAAAATATACTTAAAATGAATTGGGATATAATATTGTGTAGTTAACAAAACATGATGCCTTAGATTATTTTGTTACATAAAATTTTTCAAATAATGAAAAAACTTTTTGAGTCTATATTTTTTCACAGCACTGTATGTATGTAAATTGTGAAAACTGTTAAATTATAATTTCAATTGTGAACTTATACATAATTATACGAAGTTTTGACAAAAATTTCCTTTTCCTACAATATCATGAGACAATTTTAGGTATATTATAATTTCACTAAACAAAAATGATATTGTGAATCAATGAGATTTTGACAATTGAAATGAATAAGAAAAGGCGTTAAACTGTGAAACAGTCACTGATAGAGTCAGATTTAGACATCTTTTTTGATGCACAGCATGAACCATAGACTTGAAGGAATAGACATGTAATATGTTTAATTATATATTGCTTTATTATAGTCGTTTTTGACAGATATTTTTGAAATTAAAAAATACCTAATGAGAATGGTAAGGCGGAAACTACGCAAAGCTTTTTCCGAATTTAACGGTTTTTATAATTTCCCTGTGACATATATATAAATTTATTTCCTGCATCTTGGAAAACGCTCTAACGATTTAAATGAAATTTTGTATTTAAATAATATTTTGCTTTTTAGGTATATCTATATAATATACATATTTTCTGTAAACTGTTTGCCAGGCAAAGCCACCCAGGTGTTTACCTATAATGAAAGCAAGAGAAAGCATCTCTAAACTGTGTGCCACATGGACCAGTGGCCATACCACCGAGACATGGACAGCCCCAGTTGATGGATCCGTCCGGCATCAGCAGCCCTGGCGCGGGCTCGGGCTCGGGTAACACTGCTTTGCTCGGCGTTTCTAGCTCTGAGCGTGCTGCCACCATTACTATGTCCTTACCACCTTCACCTGTAGTCCATGTCATGCGTGACATTTTGACACCTGCAAGGAAATTTATTAAAACTTAATCATTAAATTGGTTATGTGTTGTGCCAATGAAAATTGTTTTTAAAATGCAAAATAAATTTTGCTTCACATATCTTATTTAAAACATATGTATTTAAAACAAAAATGATTAACAGTTTCAAAGAAAATCCTCGAATAGATGGTCTGTTTATGAAAAAAAAAATGACTGAGAAAGGGCCAGCCATCATATTTTGTATTGAATGTGGTACCTGTACAAATATAGAATTCTGTTACGTTCGTTTCTGTGTATTGTACAACTCTCATAAATGTAATCATTTGTATGTGTATTTGTTTGTTAGTATTTAGTTTTTCATTATGGAAAGACTGGATGGATTTGAATAACATTTGATATACAGATGTATTATGATGTGGAGTCGGGTCATGGGCATTGATTATCACCTAGGGACGTAAAACAGCGAAGCGATGGCAAGTCATTAGTTCACTTCTAAAACTAGGTTATTGAGTAACAAATGCAGCCCAAGTCAAGTAGCTAGTTACCTTATAAGTTAAACAAGTGCTTGCAAAGTGGGTGCTTCAGCAATCACACGTATATTAGCCGGGGACAACGCGATAGCAGCGCGCAGGTGTCGCAGATGTGGCGAACGCACGCGCAATAGCACACGTGCAGGCTCAGTCCGTACCGGGCTCACACTTACACGCAACACGTCAGCACGTGCGCCACAACACTCGCCAAATAGCTCACGAATTGCTTGTTGTAATATACTTTGTACAATCAGCTCTGGCGTTCCTGATGAGCTCCTGAAAGAATTGAAATATATTTTAGATATGAGATATGTTTTCAAAATTAAAAAGTAGCCTATGTCGTACTTCAGACTATAATCTATTTCTGTGCCAAATTTCATCTAGATCCGTTCAGCCGTTCTGTTGTGATTAAGTAACAAACATTTATCTAAGCTTTCAAATGTGTTATATGTAATGAGATTAACTGCCTCGGTGGTGTAGTGGCTAGCATGTACGGTTGCACACTCGGAGGTCCTGGGTTCGAGTCCCAGGTCGGGCCAAGTTTAGTTATTGTGTCTTTCTGTATAGTCTCAGTAACAGCCCGGAGTTGGGAAGTTGGCGGTGTTTCACCCCCGTGCCTCGGAGAGCACGTAAAGTCGTCGGTCCTGCGCCTTAGCTCTCACTGGTCGTGTCGAGTAGTCGTCCCACCGGAGTATGAGAGTGACAGGAATAGAGAGTGCCCTTGTGTCTGCGCGTACACTTGTGCACTATAATATCTCCTGCGCAGTTGGCTAGTCTCAATGAGATTGGCCGCCGTAGCTGGAATCGGCTAGGAGAACATCATTGTAATGGGATAATGTGATTACATTTTCTAGTTTGGACATTGGTAAACTCAATATAACTTGAGCTTTCATTGTTTCAAATAATTCTAAAAATTTATAATATTTGGCTATAGAGTATTGGATTGAGAATAGCAAAGTATGGTATAGATCTAAAATCTCAGTTTTTGGTTTATAAAAATAATAATATAAAATGATTTGGTATTTATGTAAATAAATATATTTGTTAATTAATACACTGTATAAAATAGGTCTCTAACCTAAATTTTACATTCACCAATAATTGTCGATCAAAAGTTTTTTATTAAAATACAGAAGCTAGTTACAAAACAAATTGAGAAAACATAATATACAAATAAAGGGTGCCAAGTGAAGTTAAGAGAAAGCTTATTTAGGATTTTACAAGACAGTTTATTAGACTAAAACTCGTGACTAGCGTGTATAGAACAATAATGAAAATGGAAGCACACAAAGAAGTAGATAGAGGCTTATTCCTTAGCACTAAGCTATTATGCCGCATTATGCCATAAAGTAAATACAGTAAAGATATAAATATGTACAGAAGGTATATTTGTACTTTAATAACTCCTACTAAAAGGGCAGTTTATAATATAAGTGAAAATTTATAATAAACATGATTATATTCCTCACTTACAAGGATATATAGATAAAAAAATGAATGTAATGCTTTTTATTTGTTACGCAATATTCAAATGATACTTACAAATTTATTTCTAAATTCAAATAAAAATACCGGGAACACATTCCATGGAAAGCAAGTTAACTTAAAAACTTACACGTTACGATAATAAATGAGTTTTTAACTTATTATTTGCATAAATTCCTTCTAGAATCACGCGAAATAGCTGTTTAAAAATTACACATTCGTGATTCGAGTAGAATATGGTTATGTTGATATTTAGACTGACAGCCGCTGTTAGCTGTCACAGATTCAGTAGAGATACTTTCACAGACTATATACTGACCGCCTCATTGGAAACTCACACCGACATCAAAGGAAACTTTTTATAAGTACAATATCATACTTTATGAAGAAAATTACGTTTACGGCTTAACTGGCTTATTATACCTATTCATTACTCATTTTTTTCGATTATCTTTATGTCATTATTTCATATTAATTCATTGTTATCTTATAATGTTGTAAATAAATGGTACTTAATAGTTAATCCTCTATTATCATAGCCGAGCCATATTGTTAACTTAACTGTTAAGTTTTACTTTTACATAAACACCTTTTCTTAAATTAAAAAAATGTGCCTGCACAAAAGTTTATAGCAAAGTTCACTTTTCATGTTATTACTAAATTATTTTTAGATCTTTTCTTGTTATTTTTTAAATTCCTTATGGGATGATTTCCGGGATAAAAACTATTTCACTCACATTTCATATCATGAGATTTAAAAAAAATCATAATTATTTTAGTAAAAAAAAAATTTCTTTTAATTTTCTTCTAACTTCTATACAAAACTTACTGATAATATAAAAAAAAACAAAAACCAAAAAAAAAAATACAATTTGGTGCAGTCGATCCGAAGTTGCGCGTTCATACATTTCGGCGATTCATTTTTATTTATATAGAAGATTAGAAATATATTATATACAAGTTTTAGATGAGTTTACAAAAATATACACTACCTACTCATAGAGTAGGTCTATTTGTCATTTAAAGTAACATGCGTGACCGGTATTATTAGGACTCTTCGTCCATAATTGCATTTAAAATTGTATCGTAATTGTAACAGGAGGGGGCGATGCGGCGAGGAAGTTTACTGATTGGCAATTAATATTCATCCCTCGTTTAGTGACTTGGCTAAGGCACCGGACGCGAGAGCGGCTATACAGCTGATGTCTACTTGTACAAAATACCTATTTGTGTCATAAACATCAAAGAAAAAGATTTTGTTGCTTTTGTGATAAGAAAGTTAAAAATAACTTACAAGAAGAAAAAATATTCCAGATCTAGAGACACTTGAGATATTAGATTTAAGATTTATCTATGTCAAGTTTTTCAAACATTAATGGCAGGAAAGAAATAATCTATTTTTAGTTGTGCGTCTTATCTCAGTTTATGCGGATGATCTGAAGATATGATAAGCTACAAGCGTGAGAGAGTCTTAGGCCGCGCGCACTTTGGACACGAATTTTTATCGTATGTAAACGTACGATCGTGGTCGTACGAATTAAGTGCGCACATTGAATACGTTTTTCTCCGTCAAATAGGTAGTTTTCCGATGTTATCGCACTCGTGAAGTCCTCTTTGGAGCGCGATGAATATAATCTGTATCTTCAAGATAATTCTCTTATAACTCGGAGACAGCGACGGCGCCTTCGCTATCGTAAAACCGAATGTGTACGTGAAATATATTCAAAAAGACGTGAATTCGGTGAATTCCATCATATTATGGAAGACTTATATAATGACCACATACTGTTTCGTGGTTATGCACGTGTCTAGAAAGAGACTTTTGAATATATTCTTAACACTATACGACCTAACCTGACTAAATACATTAACTTCCGTGAGACAATATCACATTGACCTGAAGAACGATTAATTGTAACTTTGAGGTAAGGAAGCTACGCTATAAATAAAGGCAGTCAAAATACTTTTTTTATTTAGATCTCTTTATTTAAAGTAGTATAATATTGACGTTAATTATTTGTCCTTTTGTTGAATTATTTTGTCGCATACTAAAATTAACACTGTATTGAGTCGAATCACTAGAACTATCAAAAAGTACCGCAGATTATATAGTATTATGTCATCTGCGGTTCATCTATAAAAACTTGCTGTAATTTTGCTCGTACTATTAATTTACGATGTTTAGGGATATCCTTTAAAAATGGTAAGAGGCTCATCAGAAACTGGGCATCAGGATCGTTTGTACTTTCTCGAAAGCATTTTAACTTTTCCTCTTCAATCTGCAATAGTCTCGTATCGATTTCATCTGGCTGACGTCTTTTGTCTTTTTTTTTTGGAGATTTAAATATTTTCTTTGGAGTTAATTCGCTATTTGGTTTCAAATATCGACCGGAGGATGGCGAAGGCGGAAGATACTCGGAACATGAACTTGCATTTGCACTATCTTGATCCTCCCCATCAGAAATCTCACTTGTACTTGGTACGCTACTTTTAAGATCCCTTCGAGACATCGAATTTTCAAGAAACAACAAAAGCTTAAAATAAGGCCATTTAGATTCAGGTTCTGTAGCAGTTGTTTGACCAGATTTTTTATTGTTGTTTTTTTTGAGTTCTTTCCCGAAAGTGTCTCTTAGTCCTCGCCACTTCTTTTTTAACTCATCAACTGAAAAAAATAAAATTTATACTATTATTACAGGCACTTAGCAACTGGTTCATAGTTCAGGGCACTTGGATATTCATTTAGGATTTCAGACAATACTATTAGCTGTATTGTACATGAAACTTGTAACGCTATTTGGGAAAATCTTTCTGAAATTTATATGAAGTTTCCATCAAGCGAAGATATGGTCAATATAACTAATGATTTTTGGACAAAATTGAGGTTTCCTAATTGTTGTGACAGCATTGACGGTAAACATATACGGATTAACGCACCAGTGCACTTTGGCAGCATGTTCCGTAATTACAAGATATTTTTCTCAATTGTATTGCAAGCTGTTGTGGATTCAAACTACAGATTTATTACTATAGACGTGGGAGCCTTTGGCAAAGAAAATGTAGGTGAAATATTTTCACATTCAAATCTTTCAAAATAATTGGAAAATGATGCTCTTTACGCAAGCCAGGAAAAAGTATTACCAGGCACATAGCTTTGCCTCACTTCTTAGTTGGTGATGAAGCTTACCCCTTGAAGACAAATCTCATGCGCCCTTATCCCCAAAGAAATTTGAATCCAGATAAGAAAATATTTAACAAACGCTTAACAAATGCAAGGTAAGTTGTTGAGTGTGCCTTTGGTATTCTGAGTAGTAACTGGAGATTGTTATTGAAAGCAATTGAAGTAAATCCTGACCGTGCCGGTAACATAATAAAGTGTATATGTTTACTTCACAAGATAATAATTGATAAGGAAGGAATTCATGATTTGTCTACGGAAACACCACAATCATAATATGTCAACAGAAATAGCTTCATGACTGCAGGAGAAAATAGAAGCGCAACGAGAGCTTACAATATCAGGGATGCACTTAAAAACTACTTTTCTTGAAATATCACTTAATTATAATATGATCTATTTGTCGTAAATAAACTTCATAAATTTACTTACCAGAAGTTTCCATTTCTTCAGATATTTCTCGCCATGCCCCACGCTGAAAGTCACGTAAGTTATAACTTGAATCACTCTGATCCCACAAACATTTATGTTCATAAACTAAGTTTATAAATTTTTCTACATCCATTTATAATTTTTAACGCACGAAAGTGTATTAAAATCCCAACAAGTTCGGATTGTATTCGGCCGTTGGAACTACACGCACGTATACGTACGACTGACTCGCACGCAGTCTGCGCTCTGCGCGCCCTCTTAGTACTTGAAAGGTGCGGATCATTCGTGCGTGTTTGTACGTGATCGCACGAGTAAAATTCGGTCGACAGCGAATCCAAAGTGCGCGCGGCCTTATTGTTTTTGTTTTAATCTAGACTCTAGACTATAGCAATAGCGAGTGTCAATAAGCTCATCTTAAACTGAACAGAAAATATAAATATTTAACAAAATAAAAGACTAGGTATATCTTAAGAAAATTTTAAGAAATTTTTATTCATTCGGATCTTAATATGTTAATACATAGTGTATATTAAACTAAAAATCTTAAATTTCTTCTTTTCTTTGTTTTTAATTCATGCGGCGAAATTCATAGTAAGAATCGAATGACCGCACCAAATGGTATCCTGTCAGTGGCACTTTACTCAGTTCCTACTGGTGACCTTTCAAAACCATAAAATTAAAAAAAAATACGCTCAAGTCACGCAAAAAGTCATGCTTTACTTTGGCGTTATGATGCCATTAATCATTATTGTTTGTATTTCATAGAATTTGAAGGTATAAATGAATTATCAAATATATAATCACATTACTTATCTTTTATTTAATCAACTTAAAATACTGTGTAAAGTAGCAAAGAAAATGATTTCAAAAGAGAGATAATGTTTTTTTATAAATAGTTAATTATTTTTCATCGAAAAGTTAGATGTAGACTAGATATCTAAATAATTCATAAGTTTGTTGATCTAGGTACTACGATCACGTGGCAGCACCAAATGTCATTTTATTCTCATTGCTCGACTTCTAATGTAAACAAAGCGGGTTTTATACTTTTGGCTATAGATGGCGTTAGCTGCTACATATTGAAGAAAGTTTATAATTTTATAAAACTTTACATTGTTTTCTTTTTATTTTATACTTATTACCTACGCAACACTTGTATTTACGACTACAGTTAAGTTTAGTTAAATTTTTAAATAGTTTTAAATGTTATTAAGATCGTTTAAACTAATAGCAATAATGTGACAAAATGTATGATGTTCTAGTAAATCTTACCATTATCTACCTGAAGAGATATTTTTTTTGTTTTGATGTGCTAATTTCTGGAACTTCGTGTAAGATTAAAAATATTATATTTAATTTTGTAGCCTATTTGTTGAAGACAGTAACATCGCACTACGAACCTTAGAAGCGGATATATAGGTAATTTATAAAATTACGCGAGCGGATCCACGAGCAGAAGCTAGTATGATAATGCTTGGTAAGTAAATTATGTTTAATTTTGATATATATTTAGAAAGAAATAGATAATTACAAATTAGTATAATAATGCCTTGGCAACGTCTCTGTGGACTTAAATGGTTTAATAATTTAGGCTCATAAGCTTCGCGCCTGGTAAGAAGAATACGACAACACTATGTACTTAGTATGTAGTAACAAATCCGCAGCCAGCAAGTGCGAGCGTAGTTCAATTACCGCACGCAACAGTCTCAGGCGGCGTCATTAAAAACGATTTATAGTCAATTATTTCGACCTGTGCCGCGTCCACTACCGATCCAATCTCATTGCGAAAGCCTACACAGATTTTTTCACGCCAAAGTTAATTTTCAAGAACTAAGCTCCTTTGTAATTAGACCAGAACATTTAGAAACTCCATTAAGAATTAATCACAATAATACCAGACAGCTGCTTTACTTCGCAGTTTTTCTGTCGTGGAAAAGAGTCAATATTGCAGGATTTTCAGCTAAACTTTCTACTTAAAAAAACTCATTAAAAGAAGTTTTTCAATAAAACTATCACTTTTTATTATTATATATTTTTTATATATGTATATATGTAATGTATATGTATATAGGTTTGTAGCTGTTTTCGTAACTCTACACCCAATGTCTATATTTATATGTAGGTACGAGTATCTGTGGTCGGTGCTACGCCTTGTGCCTACGTCATATAATGTCTTGCTCCCGCATATGCTTCACTCGCCTCGACCGAAGACCACCTATTAGTACATTATAATTGTAAAACTTCCATGGTATAATGAAGTACTTGCATTACAACATACCGTCGAAATTAATTTATGCGTAGGTAATTTCAGTGCATAATCCTTCGACGGCGACTTTGGTCTACGATATTATAATTCATCGCCCTTTGTAGATGTTACACGAGTCCCGACGGGTCGACGAGCTCGGAGCTGACACGTTTCCACTATACAGAGCAAACATCCTTGATCTATTTACGTGGAAAAAAGGCGAAAAACGAAACTTAAGAGTGACTGTCGGACCTGCCTGCTTAGATAAGTTGATTTATACAATATACCTAGAAAATTCAACTAAAATTATAAACGCGAAAGTTGGTGATGATGGGTGGATGGATATTTGTTACTCTTTCAAGCAAAAACTATTGAATGGATTTTAATGAAACTTTACAGAAATATAGTGACATTAAAGTTACACATAGGTTATATTAAAAAATAATGTAAAATATTAAATATATTCGTGTGCGGTGCCGCGGGAAAACGCTAATTACACATAATTATATTACCTGATATAACACTTAGAAAAATTAATTCCATAAATTCTTTAGCTGTCTATTAGCGTAGGCTATTTGTAAAACATCCACTAAGGCTATTGGATATTCGATATATTTATTCGTTACTATTTCGTGTTTATACTCAATTAAGTCTTTGTTTATTTCCAGTGCCAAGTCTCTTCGTTTCTGTTAGAAATAGCTTAAAATGTCACGAAAATTACTTGATGTACTTGGATACAAACATTGTACGTTTACGTACATAACGCTAGACATTCAATTAATCGTACACGTAATAGTGTAAGTTTTCTCGTAAACATGACATAGTTGCATCAAGCTCAGGAAATATGCGATCAATCCCATGGTGCAGTTTATGGCACATTACGCGAGTGCGGTGAGACGCCGGTTATGGCCTGAGTGCATGGAGTTTATCGCCATTGCTCGAGTGCTTGCCATCTAGCACTCACACCCTCCCCCCTCTCCACCGCTCCTCCCTGCCCCCTTATACTGGTACACTCACTCCGCGTCCGCTCTTATCACGCATTGTGCTGGTATTGAATTGCCATAACCAGACATTTTATTGCTCAATGAAATGGACGCGATACGTGAGCTCTCGTAATGGTTCCAGTTTTACCTCGTCGCCTGACATACATCTGCGGCGAGGCTTAGTTTGTTACGGACTCTCTTTATTATTTATACAATACCCTCTCAACTCTCTCCGTTCGGGTTCGTCCCTAGTTACTTTTTAACTTTTAGGTTAGAGATGAAATATTTTCCCGCAGTAAAAAGTATCCTATATGTTGACCCAGATAGCCAGCTATCATCATACCAAATTTCATCAAAATCTGTCCAGCTGTTTTTTTGTGATGCGGTCACAGACAGACAGACAGACATGCAAATTTTTTTAAAACTATAGATTCGGCCTCTGTATCAATATTAATGTCTATTTCAATAAGATTTTCCAAAAAAATATTTGATGTACAGATTCGGCTTAGTTACAATTTTATTACATATATAGATAGATTGGCGTATTTAAACTTGACATGAGTCTCTATTGTAGCTAATTGTCATTCATAAGCGGTGGTTATACATAGTTAAAGTCTCTAACCAAATAAGTCCACGATCTATGATTATAATATCTCGACCTGACATTTTGGCCAGTTAAAATTGATCGAGGTCAACTAGAACAGTTGCGGGATCAGTGGGGTCAGACAGGCTATATGTGGAAGGCAAAAATCCACACATTTACAATGCAGTAACAATAATAATAATAATAATAACCCCCCCAAGGGAATTGACCTTGTCGCGGTGGGGGGGCTTACAGAAAGAAGGAACTACATCCTTAGACCACAACATCTGGTCTCTATCTACTTTATAAATAGATACTATAAATGCCAATAACACCTAGGCTGACTCTTTCTAACCAATAATTCCCAACCCTTTTACATGATATCACAATGGAAAAAAGAGTTTATAATTTACGGCCGCTGCCCGGGGGTCGCCGGGGCGCACCTGGAGCCGGTGCTGGGTGTCTCAGTATGCGAACCATCGGCGACGAGGAGTTGAACAGGCGGACTCCTGTCGAAGAATATGTTACAGCCGGACAATCATCTCCATTATTATCACTCTTTCAATCTTCATCATCTTCCATTCTTCAATTATCACCTTCATCATCATCATCTTGCAGATCACCTCATCCTACCGAAGACGTTGTGCAGATAGCTAATATGGCTGATATACCTGCACCCGCCAAGGTAGTTCCTCGTACGCGAAAGAAATGGTCGATAGAAATGAACATATTCATCGTACGCACATATTTCATCCTCACATTATTAGAAACGGAATTAAATACATACCTTACACCATTACACGAAAAATTTACTGAACAATTTCCTCATATGCAAGCTTCCAAACAAAGAGTAGGTGACCAACGTAGAGCAATTATGAGAAACAATCTACTGAGTACCACTAAAATACAAGAAATTAGAGATGAAGTCCAAAAACTTCTTCGAAATCAAAATCATTTAGACATACCCATTCAAATAGATTCTTCTCAAACACAAAATCAACGAAGGAGATGGACAGATAATATTAATGAAACAATAATGAAATGCTACTATAGGATAACTAAACTCGAAAAAAATATGACCGGATATAGAACACTACTTCACCAGGAAGTTATAGAAATATTCCCAGACTTAGCCGATGTTTCAGTCCAAAGAATAGCTGACCAGCGAAACGTTATAGTAAAAAATAAATTGATTAATTTAG